GTGAGACTATAGGACGCACCCCGTTCAACATTTTATATGAGCGCAGTCCGCTCAAAGCACATGAGTACTTGAATTGATACCACTCTTACCGACCTTAGAGTTCAACAAAGATGCTATGGAGTAAACAAGATTTAGAAGTTCCACGAAGAGGTTGACAAAGAAATTGCTAAGCAGAACCACATATATCAAGCATAGGTGAATAAGTCCTGGAAGAAGGTGACGTTCTAAGAGGGAGACATCATGTTGATTCAACTAAAGAAGGAAAGACTCTCGGTGAGAGCATTCGAGAAGTTTAAACCCAAAACAGATAAACCTTTCATGATACTTTGGAAACAAAATGACAACACTTACAAGATTGATCTGTCAGGAGACTATAACGTTTCAGCCACATTCAATATCATGGACTAACACCGTACTTTGAGGGCCCAGAGCTTTGATGAATTAGGTTGAAGCTCCTCAATGTAATAGTAGAAATTAAATTCTATTAAAAAGATAATAATAAAATAAAATAAATAAATGATAATAAGAGGTGAAGTGTTTTGGAGAGGCGAATGCCTTCGGATAGACATTCTCTCCTTAGATCGCCTCCCCTTTCTTACCATCGAGTGAGAGGCAGCTGGAGAGATTGAGTGAGAGAAGAAATTGTCATGCCTTAGCGGATGAGGAAAGAAGAAGAAATCGAAGGGAAGACGGAGAAGGAAAGTAGTCGAGCGGCATCAAAGACATACCTCGACGAAGCCTTGATCAGGGAGGAGGAAGCTACAATATCTTATGCTGGTGCAATGCGTAGGAGTGCGTAGGAAGAGGAGATGTTGATGCTGTCTTCTCACACTGAGAAGGAGAAGGGAGAAGCCTGCGTGTGCTATTTGTGTCATGCTGATCGAAGGAAAAGAAGAAGGCTAATAGAACTCTCTACAATGCTCGCGTGCGGGAAGAAGTGTAGATGACTCGAGCTTCTCTGCGTCAAGTCTAGACCGAAGGAAGAAAAGGGAGGAAAATCTTGCATTGTCTAGCGTTTGTTAGGGCAGAGCCGAAGATAGGTAAATAGTCATACTTTTTGAGATTAATTAATACATTATTTTATATATTTGTAAGTGATTATGAGTTTAAGTAAATAGGTGCTAATATAAAGCTATTTGAATCAGGATGATGTTATTTAATTTCCAAATTTAAGGGAGGATTATCACAATTTTCATGTGAGATGGAAAAGGAAGATTGTTGGGCACCCGAAAGATTTTAAATTACATTAGACTTTTTTAAATTAGCTAATAAATCTATTATTTATGTGAGAGGGTATATTTAATCAATTAATGCAAAGTTTTGATAGAAGTAGAGCTCTAAATATAGAGATTTCAGCTTTGAAGTAAAAGTTTATGAAACAAGCAAGTGGAAGAGATCGACTTGAAAGCCTATAAGGAAAATGTCAAACTTAATATTATTAATGGAATTAATAATTTAATTAATTTGATTAATTAATATTATTAAATTCTTTTAGATGGAGAGGTGTGAAGAATTTGAAAAATCCTTCAGATTTAAGAAAGGCAAGAGTCCTAAAGCTAAAAGGGCTAAGCGTTTTAATAATTATTTTATATTCAAAGAAGATTTTCTTTAGGATGTAATTCTTATAGTTATATGCACGTTTAATGTGTTAGGATCTAAGAAACGAAGTGAATGATTAAATTTCCTCAGAGGTCTTCTAAGTTAAGGTTAGTAATTATTTTATTATATGTATTAAATTTAAAGTTTATTAAATAAAGAATTTTCTTAATGCTTTATAAATTTATTTTATGTTTGTATGCATGTAACTTAAGAATGAAAGGAAATGAATGAGAAAATGGAAAACAAATGTTTAATATCTTTAAAAGGAAGTAATTTAAAGGAGATAAAATGAAAGGTAAAAATTTAATTCATACAAGATTAACCCCTGATGGTACCTACTTGAGATACAATATACCCGTTCACATTTAATGAAATGGTAAAGGTTTATCTTTGGGTACATTTTTGAGGTTATCTTCGGTTATGACGGTAATCCTGCTATGACTTTTAAAAATGATAAAAACGGTTAATACTTGAAGTGTAACGGGAATGGATAAATTTAAAGTTTTAATAAAATTCACTTCATTTTCTTTGGATCATTTATGCATAACATGCAACATAACAAATTTAATACGTATTAGATTATAATTACTCACTAAGTGAAATTTACAGTTGAAGTTAATGTTTTTTTTAGGAGAAGAAAAACTTTAGGAGATTTGCTTGGTGGGAGAGACTTGATTTATAGGAGGAGAATCACTGCTACTGATAAATATTAGTTTTTTGTTGACTTTAGTTTTTTTAATTATTTACTTCCATATAGAGACACTTTATATATTGGTCTGAGATGTTGTTTTTCCATTATGATGTTGTTTCTGGATAGTTAAATTTTATTGCGCTTTGTGGATTAGTTGCTCGTTTACATATAGTGAAAGTTTCTAAAATTTTGAAAAATAAAATGTTAATACCGTTCGACCGCAGTTCCCGTTTTAGTCAATTCTAAGCAACAGGTTGTGTCGTGACACGCCAGTCCCGGGTGATTGACGCAGAGCTCTAAATGGGGGCTGGCTATAACAACCCTATAGAAATTGGTCCAGCCTTGCTGGACCGGCTGTCCCTTAGGATGGGTTGGAATTTACCGCCCTAGCTCCCCCCTTTCCTTTCCCTCCTATCCCCCATTTTCTCTTTTATTACTCTCCCATTCTACTTCTTGCCTTTTCAATATCTTCCTTTACTTGTTCTTTTTTATTCTAATCATTACCTAATCTAGTTACAAATCTCTATTGTATATAGGTGTGGTGCTTGCTTAGGTCAAGCAATTGTTGATTTGTTTTGAAATTCAGAGTCCGCCGTCAGCGTTTTCTCTTCTGAGGGCTGCATTCAATGACGAGGTGCTCCAGCTGTATCTCGTCTGTATTCAACGACGAGGTGTTTCGGCTGTATCTCCTCTAAGGTGTTGATTATCTCTGTTATTTCTCATCTGTCCTGAGCCCATTGTCTCCTGCTGCAACTCCAGAGGACTGCACCCGTCCTTCTCGCGACATTAGGGGACCGCAGCGCCTTGTCTGTGACTCCAGAAGACCATAAACTTCCTTTTCGTGACTCCATGTTGCTACAACTTCTTGACTGTGACTCCAGAAGTCCACAACGGCCCTTCCCGCGAGTCTAAGTAACTGCAACGGCCTGCTGTGACTCCAGAAGGCGGCAGATTAAATTTTTTCAACTCTAGGTTATCGTCACTCTCTGTGTGCAATCCAAAAAGGTCGCAAAGTCCCTTCCTTTCGCCGTCTACCCCATCCAGCACCTCTCGAAAGCCCGTCTGGCTCCTCCCCAAGAACCGCCTCTCTTGCCGACCACCTTCAACAACCCGTACGACTCCTTCAAGTAGCTCCTTGTCTCACCATCCACTTTCCAACGGTCCGTTCAACACGTCCTTGTAGCCCACTGGTTGCCTACAACACCCTCTAGCAGGCACCCACACATGCTGCTCTCTCCGACGCCACCGCCACCTGTTGTCCTTTCTTCTAGCCACTAGCCAAAACCCACCTCGTTGTTGATGTCCCCTATCTTCTTTCATTATTGGTAGTCTTGTTTTTATTATTTTTGGAGTCTTGAATGCATCTGAGTTATCTTTCGCGTAATAAAATTCGTTTCCATCGTCTTCGATTGAGTTAACTCTGGTATCACCTTCTATTCTCAATTTTGAAAAATATTAGGGGGATCTTTGACATGATGAGAGAGGATGCGACTTCGACTATGAGGTATGATTAAGATTTTATGTACATTTATAATTTTTTACTTCCATATGCTATTTTTTCATTGGGTTAACGTCTAATGCGGGTCAAGACGTGTCTCGAACATGTTTGGGCCCGAAAAAAATTCAGACTCATATTTTATAGTGTTAGACAAGTGTTAGGATGTGTCGAACAAATGTATATGTCTGATACGTGTTCGACACTGATACAATCATTTTTAGAAGTGTCAATGCTACATAATTGAATACTACTGGTATAAACAAAGTTTAATGAATGAGTCGGCATCCATTTAGTTATAGAGTTGACATCAGCAATAAGTGGGAACATTATAGCTCCCATAAATTGTTTTGGCTGTGATTTACTTCTCCATACAAATAAGCTTGCCAAAATTTGAAGAGAGAACAGTGATCTACGCCATGAAATCCCATCCAAATGTGGTCTTTTGTTTTGTTAGAAAAGAGGCTCCTAACTTCTCATCTCACATATTGACGCACCATCTGCTAAAAGGAGATTCAAGAATTTCTTTGGATTTGGACTTGATAAGAAAGAATCATGTTTAATGAAAGTAATGATACCAATCTCTATTCATGTATTGCTTATGATTTTCGGTAAGTTCCTCTGCAGTAATTCTAACATTAGAGACATACGAACCCATTGAATTTTAGATGCATTTTATCGTTCTCAACGGAACACATAAATGACATGAATGCTGTCACTCTTATATAAAAGCAAAAGGACAAGATTGCATCTTATGACCAACTTTTTTACAACCAAAGCAGAGAAAAACATTTCTGCTTATCTTAAAATATGGCTATTTTCTAAAGTTTTGAAATACGGTGGGGTAAAGCTCTTTCTAATCAAATCTGCATGATGGGAATAAAAAGAATTGATTTGCAATGCTTGTCAAGGAACTGCCGATCACATCAGCACAAAAAAATTGTCGCCCGTAATGTTTAACGGCCGAGTTGGAGAATTGAAACTCTCTTCCAGACTTGTCTTTCTTCAATCAGAGCACATTAGGATCTACTTGGTACCTTTGAATGGTTTATTCCTTCTTCAAAAGATTGTTGTTTATGTAATTTAGCTCACACTCAATTGAACGTAACTATTTTAGTTTAATTAGCATTTTTGCTAAATGCTCATGTTGAGTGAATATTTTTCTTATAGATTCATTTTACTTCTGTTTCTTCAAATTTTTTTTTTCTATTTCAGGAAGTTCATGGGGATACCTTATTCTGCTCTATGTTTATGTCCAGTTGTCACGTGTTCTGGTTGTTGGGTTATTGTATCCTTTTTTATGTCATTCTGGATATGGTTTTGACTGGAAGGAATCTGTGATACTTGTATGGTCTGGGCTACGTGGAGCAGTGGCTTTATCACTCTCACTTTCTGTAAAAGTAAGTCAACATTTCTCCATGAATACATTTCTTGTGGTGTTTCCTGTATAATTGTTAGGATTATGTGAAGGTATGGTAAAGCACCTTCATGAAGATGTTTAATGCCGTTACTTAGCACAAAGGTTTTAAAGGAAAACATCTTTTGTGGCATTGATTCAGCATCTCTGCTTGGCTGAGTTTTATTTCATTTGAAATTTTGCAGTACTTGCGTTTTTGATTGAGTATTGGACTTCCTGGATTGGAAGATTTTACATCTTTTAAGCAGATTTCCTGTTGCACAGAACACTGCGCTATTCCTCAACAATGAATATTAATATGTAGCTATGTGTGATGGCTGTAGTCTGGCTAGAAGTAGGCAGGCTGAGGTCTAGATGCCATCAAGCTGTAGTTTTGACCTTATGCACATTTGGTATTAGTTATTCTTTAACTGCAGCCGGTTTCCCTCTAAATTTTCATGATTTCATCCCAATCTTTTCTGGATTAACTTTTAAGATCTTCACATCCCAAGCCTTATCTGTCATTTCTTATCTACAGTTTTATGTCATCTCGAGTTTTATTTTTAGCCATGACTATGCAGCACCGGTTTTTTTTTTTCTTTCCTTTGTAGCACAGTTGTTACTCAGAGGAGATGAAGTGTATGTTTTCATGTGCCAAGCAGAGAAGAAATGGTCAGAGTAGAAAACCGAGCTTTCCTGTACGAGCTTGGATAAAAAACTGAGAGGGAAAGGAAGCAAGGGAGGCAAGGGCGATGATATTGTCAATCTAGCCCAAGAGCGCCGAAGCTGTGCGAAGCAAGCCAAGGATGAACGAGCAATAGCCTGTGCGGATTCCAACAATGATGCCGTCGATTTTGCTTTTAGCAGGACCAAGCGAATTGAGCCTCCTATGTGGTCTTGTTTGCAAGGTTTGCAAGGTAGAAGCTGAAGCTAGTGAGAAGGTTGACGTGCGGGTACTGCTTGTCGGAGATGGCTCAATCAGGAATCACGATTGATGAGCGAGCAACATTAGAAACATTAATAAAGCAGACATAAGACAACATTCATGTTTGTTAGAGAATTGACAAAATATCTACAAATGTTAATAACATGTCTAACCGGTAGTCAATGAATTGAAAAAATATCTAAAAGGTGCCAAATTTCAGTTGGTATGATTTAAGTTCCCAAGGCCTTTAAATCCCTTATTAAAGGCATGGACCAAGAACATAAAACTAATCGAGTTAAACAAGCGGCAAAGCGGAAATTCAACTCTTGAAATAAGAAACAACAACAACAACAAAGACAACAAAGAACAACAACAACAAAGACTTAATCCCACTACGTGGGGTCGGCTGCATGAATCATTTTTCTCCATTGCGTCCTATTTAGTGTCACATTTTCATTTAAGTCTATTAAATTAAGATCATTTTTATACAATAGGCCCAAGTCTTCCTTGGTCTATCGCTGCCTTTTTTAACATAAGACGAATCTAAAACATCTACTCTCCTAATCAGTTCATCAGATCGTCACGTTTAATGTGACCAAACCATCTAAGACGACTCTCTCTAATTTTGTCCGTCACTGGAGCTACACAAACCCTATCAAGAAGATATTTTTTTCGCATTTTGTCTCTAAGTGTAAAACCACTCATCCACCTAATCATTCTTATCTCGACAACACTTAACATAGTATTATCTTCTCTTTTAAAGGCCAACATTCAGCATCATAGAGCATTGCAGGTCTCACCACCATCTTATAAAATTTCCCTTTCAATCTAAGCGGTACTTTTCTATCCCACAAAAGGCCCGAAGCATTCCTCAACTTCAACCAATCAACTTGAATTCTAGTATTAACATCCTCATCTATATCATCATCACTTTAAACAATAGACCAAAGATATCTAAATCGTTCACATTTTTTAATAATTTGATCACCCAAAGTTACATTTTTGTCACCAGAGCTACTACTACTAAAGTTACATTCCATGTATTCAGTTTTAGTTCTACTCAAATAAAGGCCTTTAGGCTCCAATGTAGACCTCCATAATTCAAGTTTTTCCTGGGCTTTTTCTCTTGTCTTATCCACGAGAAGGATATCATTAGCAAAAAACATACACCAAAGTACATCCTCCTTTAAATGTCCAGTTGACCATCAATAACTAAAGGAAAAAGATACGGGCTTAAAGTCGATCCCTGATGTAATCCAACAGAATAGGAAAATAATTGGTCAATCCTCCTTCAGTTCGAACACAAGTAACAGTTCTAGTATGCATATCTTTAATAACTCTCCACAGGATCATATCAACACTTATCGTAAGCTTTTTCTAAATCACTAAAAATCAAATGTTGATCCTCCTTTGAACTTCTCCACTTCTCCATCAAACCTTTCAATAAATGTATACCTTCCATAGTAAACCTGCCCGACATAAATACAAATTGATTATGCTCCATTACTTTCTCCCATAATTTTAAAGTATGACACATTAAATTAATTCCTCTATAATTTGCACAGTCTTGTGTATCCCCTTTATTCTTAAAATGGGGACGAAAATACTGTTTCTCCACTCCTCAGACATCTTTTTAATTTTTAAAATAATATTTAAAAGTCCCAAATCTCCTAAAAACTTCCACACTTCAATTTGGATATCATCAGGTCTTACAGACTTTCCACCCGTATTTTTCTTTAAAGCCTCCTCAACTTATTTTTTACTGTTGCGATGGTAAAAATGAAACATTATATTGCTATTAACGATATTAAGATCATTAAAGGCGATCATATTTTAAGAAAATTCATTAAAAATTTATCAAAATAAATCACCCACCTATGTTGAATATCTTTTTCTAAGGAAAACACTTTTTGATTTTCATTTTTAATACACTTTACTTGAGTTAAATCTTTACTTTTCTTATCTCTTTATTTGACCAGTTTATAAATATATTTTTGACTCTCTTTAATATCAAATTTGTTATAAAGATCACTAAAAATAGAATTTTTAGTGTCACATATTGTTCTTTAGACTCTCTTCATAAAAATAGAATTTTTAGTGTCACAGATTGTTCTTTAGACTCTCTCCAGGTCATTTGATATTTTTCCTGCATTTGATATTTTTCCCAGTTCTCTAAGTTTTTACATTTAAATCAATTTTTATAACATATCTTCTTAATTTTTATCTTTTCTTGCATATTATTATTTCACCCCCAACTATATTTATTTATAGAAAATTTTTCTTTTGATTCTCTAAGTACATCTTTTGCTACTTGTTTAATAGTGTTTGTTACTTTATCTTAGGTATCATTCGTTTCTTCATAAACATCCCAAATTTTGAAATCTTGAATTTTACTCATAAAAATAATTTTATTTGTCTTTAATGTTCTCTCATCTAATTCTGTGATGATAAGTCTTTGTATTATTTATTTTACAACTCATCATCTTAAAATCTAGAACTAATAATCGAGGTTGAGTACTTGAAACTTCACTTGGAATGACCTTACAATTTTTACAATCTCGTCGATTTCTTTTCTCATAAGAAAATAATCAATCTGTGTTTTATTTGATCCATTCTTATAAGTAATAAGATGTTCATCTCTTTTCTTAAATAAAGTATTAGTAATAAAAAAATCATATGCCAAACCAAAATCTAAAATGACTCTATATTCTTCATTAGTCACTCCAAAACCGTAGCCACCATGAATATTTCTGAAATCTTCTACCAGTCGACCGACATGTCCATTTAAATCCCCTCCATTAAAAATTTTTTCTTCAAGAGGTATTATTTGTATTAAATCTTCTAAATCATTCCAGAATTTATCTTCAGACTCTATATCTAAACCTACCTGAGGAGTATATGCACTTATAATATTAAAAATCTTAGTATTAATAATAATCTCAAGGGCTATAATTCTATTTCTAACTTTATTAATTTTTACAAAAATACCTTTCAAACTCTTATTTATAATTACACCTACAACACTTCTAGTGCGACTCTTCCCTTCTAGTACGACTCTTCCCAGAATATCAAAGTTTAAAGCCTAGCTATCAATCTCCTCAGCCTTTTCTCAAACCCATTTAGTTTCTTGAATAGATAAGATATTAATTTTTCAATATATCATAATATCAATTAATTCCATTAATTTACCATTGAGAGTACATATATGCCAAAATTCAATCCTAATATTAGTTTCATTATTTTCATAGACTAACTTCTTTAGCCGTATCCATCCGTAATGTGGGAACCTTTGCTTATTTGATACTACACTCGGACGCCGGTGTAGCAGCCCTTGCACACTTTTCACTGTATTCAGGTCATACAACACGCCACTTCCAGGGGACGCCCTAACACTTACACAATGCTCAAAAGAATTCATGTCTTGATTTTATTTCGACAAGTTTTACGTTGGCTGGCAATTGCTTGACGAAATCCTTCACTTTTCACATCCATGAAACTTTCTCTAGATGTGTTTTGTTGAGCGGTTTGAAGGAAGAAAGTCCTCGTGTGTGGAAGGAGCGCGTGAATGTCTTGTACGAAGGAAGAAATAAACGAGGTCAAACTGGGCTAAGCAGCCACGAAGAAAGGGTTTCACGTGTGGGTAAGCAAGGCGAGTATCACCGCTTTCATGATCGATGAGGGCTGGACTGAGCCATTTAAGTTTAAGGTTTTTTTTAAGATTTCATATTTATTAGTTTGAATTTATACTAAAATTTTAATATTGATTTTATGAGAACTAAAATCAGGAAGCATTGAAGAAACAAATATTCAAATTTGATATCTAGGAGTGGATCACGTTGAAAGAAAGTGTACAAGGTAAATGAAATTCGAGTTAGACTTAATTAAGACTAAATGAAAGTTGCATAGGATGAATGGAAGACAAAAAAAAAAAAAAAAAAAAAAAAAAGAGGCACAAGGGGCTTTTGACATATACAACACACAAAACTTTGCTATTTACGTATCTTACATGCCAAATTTTAATGTCACGAAACTCTCACACAATAATGGCTTCCATTAACGCCGCCGTATCCAAGCTATCTGGATCGCAGCTGTTCAGATTCAAGCAGCTCTGCCATGAAGGCAACGAAGGGTTGACTGCTCTTTTCTGCGTGCTGCCGCACAAAACCGCTTGTTTTGCAGTCCTAGAGGTTACGCTCCTTTTTAAAAATATCTCTGATACCAAGTTTAACCAACGACAGTGGGAAAATCAAATATTATTACTGAAATCAAATTGCAAATTACAGCCAAATAAAATGAAAATCTGAAATTGCAAAAAAATGGATACACAACATATGACTAGGATGTATCTAAGGTGATGGTTACAGCAGGCAGCAGCGGTTACTGCTGTCGGGAGTGGCAGTATGTGGGGAAAAGGGCTGGACTGTGGGTAAACAGCAGGAAGACGGCGAGGTTTTGCTGTCCCAGGCGACAAGTAGGGGAACAACAAAAGGGAAGGGGGAGGCGGAGCTGGGAAGACTGGAACAGGCAGGGACCGACATGAGGGACAGGGAGGAGCAACTAGGGCGGCTGGAGCAGGAAGGAACAACTCCTTGCTATTCTAAATGGCGGTAGCAAGTAGAGAAGATGGAGATGGCTGGAAGGCAGAAAACTGCAGGAAGAAACAACTAAAATGGCTGTTTTGGGCAGCTGCAATAGGGGAGGTGACGGCGTGAGATGTGGGAAGGATGTGGAAGGGTTGATGAAAGATAATCACCATCTTAGTTGGAGCACCACACAGATCCTTGGATACAGTCCTAGATGAAAGAATAGAGATGAAGACAGCTATCCCAAATAAAAATATGACAAACAGTTCTAAAACATGACAAAAACAACATATATAATTCTTGGATGACTAAGAGTGGGCCCCACTCCCAATACATGACAATTTCATGCATGCGGAAGTATTTTTTATTGCGTCAGGACACCGGTGTCCAATTAAAACCACCCAAATTAAAGTGTGGGTCCCACTAAAAAAAAAAGTATACGTATACAAATTTGCGTTCGTTATCCTAACGCAATAAAAGCTCCCTGCGAGGGCGCCGGCTGGTCCCTCTTATGCTTGGATCGAATCAGTCAAGATGTGTAGGCATGGCAATTGGCATGCTACTTAGACACCCTGCGTCAATCTCTATGGATTTCTTATTTTTAATTATGATATATCTCCACGAAGCTACATTTTTTTTTAGCAGATTTTCTTATCTGTGAGTTATCCACTTATATTTTCTTATTTTTAATTATGATATATCTCCACGAAGCTATATTTTTTTTAGCAGATTTTCTTATCTGTGAATTTTCCCTATTTTCTTTTTCTTGATTTACATTTTTTTTTTCTTAGCAAGCCAGTAACACGAGCCAACCTTTTCTAACCAGTGAACTTGGAACCTTGGTATGCTGTTCTTAAGCTGTAAATTACATCTAGTTTTTTTGCTGTTGCTACACTAATAGCTTAACTTGGTTATTCGGATTGCTGCAGTTTGTTTTCTTTACTGGTGGAATTGTATTCCTAACACTGATTATCAATGGGTCAACCACCCAGTTCCTCTTGCACTTTTTGGGTATGGATAAGCTATCAGCCGCGAAGGTTAGTTTGTCTTATTGAAACTGCCATGATTATATTCCTTTATTATTCAGACTATTTTTTATCAGGCTATTATTTTATTACTTCGTACTTGATCTTAAAATGTTGTTGCTAGATTTCTTTGTTTTTTTTTTGGGGATTAACTAAAAAAACTTGAACTGCTTATATTAAAGATTTCAGTAGCTTGGCATATTTGGCATTCATTTTATAAGACTGGTCAATCCTCATTCAATCAAAAGTTTATTTTGGTAAAATATTCAAGCCTAGCACGGTTTTTATTCTTAATGAAAGTTCAAGCTGGCGGGTTGCGGTTGACTCTATTCTTGGGAGACTCAATTTCAAATCCCAGCAAAGGGGCGTTGAAAATTAAAGGATATAGTCCATAATTGTGGGAAGCAGATTGGGAAAAATAGGTAAATCCACTCAGAACAGCCAAAATTTGTTAAAATATTTAGTTTAAGTTTGAACCCAACTAGTATTTTAGATCCTGTCCATATGTATTGAATCTCATTTGAAACGTTGGTTAAAACTGTTGACTATAGGCTATAGATCTCAGATTACTTAGGTAAATGTGGTTCTGGTCCTAAATAAAAAGTTTTTCTCGGAGTAGCCTTGTAACTCTTCATAAATCCCTTGGAAATGAAGCGAAATGTTGAAAATATCAAAGCTTGTTAATCTGGTTAACTCTTGCAACTATAACCAAGAGTAAGTTGTTTGACCCAAATACAAAGAAAAACAGATATTATTACTGGAAGCAAATGGATGATTACAATCAACACACTTGAAAGGGGAAATGCATCACACAGCTGCTACAGTGTCGCATCCTTTGTACTGAATCATCTACAGTTCCGCGATGGTAAGGCCCCTCGTCACCCCTCGTCATCTCTCGATGTTGTGGAAGCTTTGACTTCGTTCGTCGAAGCTTTTGGTTCCTTGTAACACGAACTCATGTTTGCCACGTTAATGGTAGCAAAGATATTGCATTCCCCTAGGAGGTTGATCATGTAGGTGTTGTGGACATGTAGGTGTTATCATTCCACAACATATCCTGGTAGAATAGATGTCTGTTCTCTTTTGACACAACTTGAGCTGATACCGTAGATAGACAAGTATTCTCATAAATCAAATATTGAGTCATCTGATTTGTAAACTATTTCTTTCGCTTATCTTACTCAGCAGGATGTAGCTGATAAACCAATATGTGAGGAGAAATAAACTCTAGGGTGTAATCTGTGGTAAGTTGCACCACTCCCACTAGCAACCACTTGGGAGAGTTCTCTTCTTCTTCACTGACCAAATTCCATTGAAGAATTTTATTCTCCATCAAGCTCCTAAGATAAATTTCCAAGAAGGGGTTCATTCCTCGTGTTTGGACATTTGATGATAAGTACCATGATGAACTGAATTTAATATTTGAATAACTCCATGTAATCTTCCCAACATGACACAAAAGGGCCCCATCTCCGACATATTGGACCTCTCTCAGTATGGGCAACTCAGAGATGAGTTTATGGATCTGAAATGTCGGAATTTGTCTTTTATGGGTTTGTCATATGTCGTCCCAACATGACACAAAAGGGCCCCATCTCCGACATGTTGGACCTCTCTCAGTAGGGGCAACTCAGAGATGAGTTTATGGATCTAAAATGTCAGAATTTGTCTTTTATGGGTTTGTCATATGTCGGATATTGACTCCCTAAACTCATGGCCTTTTTGAACATCTAAGGCCAGTTCTGTTAATGCTCATCTCAATGCCGGCAAAATGTTTGCTTGAGGCACCATAATCTCGTACTCTGTTGGAATGACCATTACATTAGAGTCACTATATTATAGAATGACTATTGTTACCTCAGTTGAAATCTCTATCTTAGGGTCAACTGGAATTAATGTCGTCTCTTCCTCGTTGGATGAAAATTGAGAATCTTCTCTGGAGTATGCATTTTTTCCGGATCACCGTTTATCTGTTCAACTGGACTGGTCCTTCTATTTTGTGTCCTTTTCGTCTTCAGTGTCTACTGTGTCATTGGCCAATTTTTCAAAAGCACACTGCTCTATGAAATAGATCACTTCCCTAGTTGTGCAGTCTAATTCAGTATGCCCAAATTCGTGGCAGTTATAACACTTTCTTCTATTACAGATTTAGAAATGCAGATTGGTTCCATCTGTTTCCGCTCAGACTCAGCTTTTTCTCTGATGGGGTTAGCTTGGATATTCTCTTGGGTTTAATCTGGCTGTAAGAACCTGAAGTTGAGTGCTGACTATTAAGATGTGGTGGTCGTTTGTTGAAGTGATCTCTCTACTTAAGCTAGAGTCTGAATATTCTATCTATAGTAAGCTGGTAGGAACAAACGTTGGTTCTTCTTCTTGATCTGCAAATTCTCTCATTCTTCACATGCTGGCTCTTCTCTCCGCCTCCTTTGATGTTGAATTCCAAAGCATCGTGACTGGTCTTGTGCATCCTTGAAGTCCTCTCTATGAAAGGGAATCAGTTCCTCGTCTTTGGCTCCTCTTCGATTCTCTCGATCCCGGTCAAGGGTATTCCTTTAGTGGATTTCATCCTCAATTGCATCCTTGAAGTCCTCTCTATGAAAGGGAATCAGTTTCTCGTCTTTGGCTCCTCTTCGATTCTCTCGATCCCAGTTAAGGGTATTCCTTTAGTGGATTTCATCCTCAATTTTTGAAAACCTACGCTGAAGTTGGAGGTTCTCTCGCTATTTCTCCTCATGGGTAGGCTCGAGTATGTATTTCTTTAGTGACATGGCTAAGGTTTAGGGGTGGGAGGTGAAAGATGGTAAAAATAATTGGTTTAAGGTTATTGATTTTGAAAATCAAAAAGAGAAAATTAGGTTTAAGGATATGTGGTAATGGAAAAGGTATTTGACAGTAGGAAAGAAAATTCTTGGGTTATGACTGATGCTAGGAAATCCTAGGATAAAATTAGGGTTAGACTTGCTCTGATAACAAATGATACCAGAGTTAACCTAGACCACTTTAGGGAAAAATAAATATTATTATCGAAAGCAAATAAACAATTACAATCAACACATTTGAAAGGGAAAATACAACACACACGATATACAACTCGTGTTTGTACGGATCTCAGGTGATGGCGGCGACGGTTATGGGGCTTGGAGAGGTGCGTACGGAAGGGGTATCTTGATTGTGGATAAGGGGTGGCAGCAGTTATGGGCAGCTAGAACGGCACAACGACACGGAACGACAGTCCAGATAGCCGCAATTTGTTGTTTGGGGCCGCTAGGCAGCAGGAAAACTACAAAGGGAAGGTGTTGCGTGCAGCGACAGTGAAGGTTGAGGTCTGGGACAGAGAGGGCAGCGAGGACGCGGGAGGAGAAGGCGTGTGGGCAGCTTGAACTGCAGAAAACAACAATAGGATGCTGTTGTGGCGGCTGCAACAAGGTACGACGACAGTGAGTGATGTGGGAAGATGCGGATGTGGATAGGAGGAAGATAATCACCACCTTAGGAAAGATGCAGTCGGAGCACCACCCAATTCCTCGTATACAGCTCGCAAAGGGGAAAATAGACGCTGACGGCTGTTCTGATAGAAATCTGAAATAAAACTCACCAAAAGCTACCTAAGACAACAAACAACATAGTTATAATAAGTATCAACATTTAAAATAGGAAGGAAATATAAAAGTTAAGGGATCAAATAGGAAAAAGGGTCAGCGAATACGGTACTATAGAAGATACAATACCGCGACGGTAAGCTCCCGTGCCAGACCAACTCCCCTTTCTTTCTTTCTTTTTTCTTCTTTTATCCCTGGTTTTCATCCACTTGTATTTGGGGGTGATTGTGATGACTGAAAAGTGTTGAGGCCTCGTCCATGGATTATATGTATCCAAATATATTTCTTCTTGTGAGCTCGTAGGATGCTCTTTCTGAGGTGGTGGAAGGCTCTTTGTAAAAAGAAAACATGCTTTGCTTGTGGAAGCTTTTGGTGGCATTGGTGACTAAATAACTTTGGGCGTCTTTTATAGAATCTCAACTTCTTTGCTTTGCTCTTTTTTATCGAAACTCCTTGTGATAAAAACAATACTGATAATTTGCATTTTGCTATAACCTTTTCAGTCTAGTTTAATCTTTCTAATAAGTGTTTTATCCGAAATTTTAAAAGAATATGCATTTTTTTGACTTCAAAATTTGTATGTTTTGTAAAACACATAGAAGTCTTGTGTAGGTTGACTTCATGGGGATATTTTAGTTTTTGGTTTGGTTTTAGTTTATTTGCAAACTTTTGAATTTGTTCTTTTGGAGTGATGGTTGCTCAAACCTGATCCTGTGAACAGAATTCAAAAATGACTTGTGCAAAAGAATGTTCTGTTGTTTGCAAAAACTTTGCAGTGAACTTAGGTTTGCAATCATTGAAACTTCATTCCTTGTATAGTGTCCATTTAATTATCTTATTGTTATTTAACCTATTTTTATTTGTTTATTAAAATTGAAAATGTGGCTTCCATTATTAGTTCGTTTGATCATTGTCATCATGATCATAATAAGTTTATCCCACCTATTTGTCTTTCAATTATGGTGTTTTTTATTTTAATTTTTTAATGTGTTTTATTTAATGTGAATATTAGAAAGAAATTCATGAAACTTAATCCAAAGAAACGTCCTCCCTTTTTATCTTTATTGCATATCAAATTAGTGTATCATGCTTTTCATAAATGCGGGTTCTCCTTCTTTTTCCCAAGAAAAAAAGGTAATCCTGTTTTGGAATTTATGTATTTCTGTCTCTGTATGGTATACTGCCTCTATAAAATCCGGTTCTCATGACATCACATTTGCATGCTTGAAGATTCGTGTTTTGAACTACACAAAATCTGAAATGCTAAAGAAGTCTTTGGAAGCTTTTCGTGATCTTGGAGATGATGAAGAGCTTGGACCAGCTGATTGGCAAACCATCCGAAGATATTTAACCTGTTTAGGTAACTTGGATGTGGATGAGAAACCACATGTCATAACTGAAACCGAGGATCATCTAAAGAGGTTGAGCTTAAGTGACATGCGAGTACGTCTTCTAAATGGTATGTTGGAGCAGATTAATTGATGCTTTTGTAGTGTTGCAACTGCGGCATTAACTTGTTGCCTCTAGTTTTGAATTTTGTAATATTTCTCTTTTCAGTTAACAACTTATTTGCTGATTTTCTTATCTGTGGTGTACTTTCCCTTTCCTAATATGCAGTAACCCTCATCTTTTTAAGGAATATTTTCGCGTTCATGTGATCATTTTTCATCCTTATATTTATTTCAAAAACTTTTAACGCAATAATGGGTTATCTATTTGGTTTTTATCTTTGGTTCAAATTCAAGGAATTGTGTGATAGAATTCAGAATTATTGCCATAGAAAATTTAGGGAAAATAAATATTTTAGTGCATGAACAACAAACTCAACATGGATACATAAGATAAGCTCTTACTATCAGCAATCTCTTCTAAATCCTATAATTCGAGAGGTAGGTAATCTCTCCCAAACCCTAACCCTAAGACTCACGATCCAATCTCCTGCAATGCCCTAACCCTAAACATATTAGCCCTATTTATACTAAACAGTAATAAATGACGAAAGACTAAATGTTCTTCTGGCAAACAAAATACAAAATTGCCCTTAGGCTTGATACCAACATAACAATACTCCCTTCCCTAAAAGATATTTTATCCTAAAGATGGATAAAAGAAAACTACTATTGGATCAAGCTCCCTTAATAAATGTTCTTCTGGCAAACAAAATACAAAATTGCCTTTAGGCTTGATACCAACATAACAATACTCCTTTCCCTAAAAGATATTTTATCCTCAAGATGGATAAAAGAAAACTGCTGTTGGATCAAGCTCCCTTAACTCCTCGTCACACACCTGTAATACTTTATTCTTACAACGGTGTCCTAAAGCTAATATTTCATCACATCGATAACATAGCCTCTGTCCCGCCATCCGACATCACCGCCACAACCCCACAAGCCCTTCCCTTTGTTGTTATATTGTTGCTTCTTTATTGTGGTTTGGGTTAACTCTGGTATCAGCTAATTTAATAATTTCTACCAAGCATTGCTGTCTCAGCGGGTGACGTGTGCACGTTTGTTGGGCTTTAGACCTTTTATGAAATTTCTTTCTTATACTATTTTAGAAATTCTCCTTAGCCGTCTCGACAATAGCTTGAATCCCTATATTTTATTATAGTCCCTTCTTGAGTCAAAACATAGAATTGCCGTGCAGGTGTTCTTCCTAGAAGGCTCTGAAATATTTCAACAAACAATCATTAAATTCCTCCCATGAGCGGATAGAGTATCTAGCCTCCCTACACTGAAACTATGATAGAGCTTTCCTCTCTAGACATAATCCTTTCATCATGAGCTTCTCATCTCTATTTAGCCTATTCACTGTGAAAAATTGCTTCACCCGGTACACCCATCCATATGTTTCTTCCACGTCGAAGATAGACATCTTTAACTTCCTAGCCCTAGCATCTCCTCCCCATCTTCCTCTCCCTTCGGTGTTTCCCCAATATATCTGGTGTAAAAATCTCTCATTCGATCATAGTCTTATCCCATTATGTCTTTTCTCTTTTTTTTTTTTGCTCCTCTGTACCTCTTGCATACCCCCTTCTCCATGTCTCGGCTTAGCCTCCTCCATCAATAATTTCTAATTACCTTATCAGACTCCTAGGAGGGGGTTCTTAATAGTGGATGCTTTTCTCCCGATGTTCCCCTTGTCTGATTTGTCTGATTTTGTCTCCTTTTGATTTATCAAGGATTCTTTGAACCCCCTTGATTAAGGTTTGTAAATTGAACTGACAACGAGGTCTTGGATCACATCACAATAAGCTTCCTGGTCATCTTATTCAAGAACTTAAACCAGCTCTCAAATTAGTTTTCTATGGATGATAACCTTCATTCTATGGTTGAGAATATTTCCACCATCCCATATTTAACTTGCCCTTTCAATTTATCTTCCCAAGCATCTATACTTTCCTTGCTGCCAATTCTCGCAATACGATTTGTTATCACGATGGCTGAACCTATTCCTTGAAATTTTGTCGTTGCTTTCCTTCTAGCTTTTATCTCGAATGTATCACAAGTTGTCGCCGCAAAAGCAACAACTTATATGTCGAGCAAAGGAACCGGGAGTTTTGAGTCCCTGTATGCCGCAATCCCGCGTTGGCTTCCACTAGCTCGAGCATGACCTTAGAGTCGTTGTTGTAGCGTGAAGTTCTTTCAGTAAGTAGATCACGATCCCGCATTGCTTTACCGCTAGCTCCAATTGCGATCGTATCGCAACGCTTTGGTCATGTATCCCACAATCCTACGTTGCATCTGTGTTAGCTCCAATTGCGTATCGCAAGGTTTCGTTCACAGAGACAACAATCATGCGTTGCTTCCCAGCTTAGCTCCAACCACGATTGTATTGAAATTTTGTGAGTCGCGATCTTTATCGTGACTGTCTCTACCAATGAAGGAGACACGATCTCGAGTGGTTTCCAGGCAAAGAAGATGCGATCTCGTTGGCTTCTCACAAAAATCACGATCCTGTCATTGGCTTCAGAAATCAACAAAGGATCGATGCTCTGATACCATATGATATGATCCGAAAATTTTCACAGAAAATTTAGTGCAAATAAATATTTATTGCACAAATAACAAATAACTCAACACAAATACATAAGATAATCACTGCCAATTTGAGAGGTAGGAGATCTCTTTCAAATCCTACAATTCGAGGTAGAAAATCTCTCCGAATCTCTAACTCTAAAACTCATGATCCAATCTCATGCATAACTCTAACCCTAAACATATTAGCCCTATTTATACTAAGCAATATTAAATGACAAGACGGAATGCCCTTAGACACATAAAAGACAAATTGCCCTTAGGTTAGGCAACATCATAACATTGTGTTGATGGAAAATTTGTCCATTTCTAGTATGTGAATAACTTTTATGCGTAGGAATCATAAGATTGTTTTCAGTGGGATGTTATATTTTGTACTAATGACTCGGTGCATGTTTTAATAATGCATTCTAGTGAACTTTTGTTTACTGAAGTTGATATCTCACAATATTTCAGGTGTGCAAGCTGCTTATTGGGCTATGCTTGATGAAGGAAGGATATCTCAAGCCACTGCAATGATTTTAATGAGTTCTGTTGATGAAGCTATGGATGTGGTGTCCACTGAGACCTTAAGTGATTGGAAGGGCTTAAAGTCCAATGTCCTTTTTCCAGGGTATTACAGATTTCTTCAGATGAGTAGGTTCTCATTGCGGCTGGTCACCTATTTTACAGTGGCAAGACTAGAGTCAGCATGTTCGCTTTGTGCAGCTTTTCTCCGTGCACACAAAATAGCTAGACGGCAACTCCGTGAATTTATTGGTAAGTTCTTTTCTTTGTAGGGTAGACAACCGCATTGCCCTTTTGCTTTTAGGGATTTATCTTATACTTTACTAGATCTTGAGATAAGCCAGCTTCCTGCAGTAGATGTTATTGGTGCTTAGTTCTTTTTTATTTTAATGTGATGACACTTTTTCACGCAATGTTTTTTAAATGTTCATAAGCATACTTCTTATGACAACTGATTCATCATCCAATATGGCTGACCTTTTTTCTTCATCTACCACGATATTGTTAATGTACGACCCTTGTTAGAATATGCGTCAAGTAATGATGTACCGATGCTGTAATTTATCCTAATTAGAATTATAAAAATGTCACTGAAAGCAGGGCCCAATAAGATCACCATGTTTTCTCTACCAACCCATCAGATTTCAATAGCTTCGACTGACGGGGGGCTTATTAGCTGAGCCGGTCCAGCAAGGAGGCTATTGACATTTTAACTACCGCCATTAACTTTAAAACACGTGACTTATTAGTTTATCAGCCAATTCCTATGTAGATGAAGGAAGGATATCTCAAGCCACGTATTAACACGTGACTTATTAGTTTATCAGCCAATTCCTATGTATTTTCATATCTAACATCAATACTTTGTTTTTAACATTTATACCACTGAAAGTTTTTATATCATATCGAAAATATCACTATTTTAACTTTCAAAAAGTGAAATGCACCTCTTCATGCACATAAAAATTATAGTTTAGGTGTTAGATATGTAAATACATAGGAATTGAGTTGTATGTATGTTAATCTTCCTTTTCTTGAATTGAGGAAATAGGAGCTGACCTTTTCATTAAATAAAATTTGTATTTAAAATGCAAGGCATTTTCCTTAGGAAAAATAAACTCAACTACACAAATGTTTAATGAAGCTTCAATGATTTTTTTCTGAAACTTAGATTATCCATTCTTCATTTGAGGTTTCCCTTCATTTTATTATGGAAAGTGGGACTGACATTGGATGTCCAAAAGGGCCATGGGTTTGAGGAATCAATACTAGACACAGGACAACCCATATATGAGAATTTCAGACTTTTTTGGGATATATATTCTACTTCATGTGTGGCTCCTACTGAAGGAGGTCCTAAATTTTAGGGATGAGATATTTTTTTGTTACTTCTGGAAGATTATATGGAGTAATTCAAATATTAAATTTAGTTTAAAAGTGTACCCATCAACATATGGTCATATAGGAGGGATGAGCCACAACTTTAGAAATTGTTTTAGGATCATTGTGGGAAATAAATTCTACAACATTTCTTTCGAGGGTTGTCTTTGAGGGTTCGAGTGGTGCTCTGGTTGTAATTCGCTCCCAAGATGGGGTTATTTTCTTCCCTATCCCCTTCAACATCCTCCTTATGTACCCCCATTGCTACCGCCACCAAGAACCCCTTGCTACTGTCCGCCTGCTGTTCCAGCACACCTGCACTGCTCCCATCGCTCAAACAACAAGGTGTCGAGGTTGTCTGACTGACCAACCTTCTATGCCACCAATCTGCCCTCCCTCCCATACTTGCTACCACCCCTAAAAACTCACCCCGCTGTTGTCTCTCCTCATTCCAATGCCCCCGGGTGTCATGACTCAGTTTAGGAGCTTGGAATTATAAGGCGGAAACTTTCTGTCGAACGAAGGATAACCATCTAATAGTTTCAAATCACAAAAGAGTCATTTTATTTCAAAAAAAATTTATATTTACAACTATTTATAATATTTAACCATTTACATCTTTCAAAAAATAAAACTCAACTATAATATTTTATCAGCCTACACTCCATGACGCTTGTACTCATACTATCTGGGATCATCTAGCATACAACTATATTTTTCATAAAACTACTCTGTGGCCAAATGTTTCTAAATTAAATTAATTTATATTTTAAAATATTTTATAATATAACATTAAATAATAAAAGCCTTGTGCATAGTAAAAAAACAGTTTCATTTATTTTTATTTATTTTTGTTACACTTTTTATTATTTGGAGTCAGTCTAAACGTATACTTTAAACTAAATATATACAATTAATATTTTCCAACTCACTATGAAAATAGACAATCATTTTCATTTTTGTGCACGAGTATATTGCATTCCTTTGTCAATATCATCCAGGGGTGACTCTCATATGTATGCATACATCATATTTTATTTTTTCTTGCATTTAACATTTTAAAGAAAAACTTGAACTTTTTTTATTTTGAAAGAATTGGAGATAGTAAAGATGTGTAAAGCAACAAAATAGTTGTAAATTAAAAACATATTACCAACATGTACATTTAGTCGGTTATTTTTTTCCGATAGGTGAAATTAACTCTTAGATACACCTATAATCATGATTTAAATGAAATTACCTTCTATTCAGGCTAATCTTCTGTCCTATTAATTTTAGATTTTTAATGGCTATTCTTTTAATTTTTATATTTAATTAAATTAACATATATATGTATAGGAAAATTCAAATTGATTTTATGTTAATTCTTCTAAAATTTTCCTTTTGGGCATAAGCTAAATTTAATAGTAACTTAATTATGAATAAGTTTTAAATTTTAGTTTCTTTTGTTCATTTTAACATTAGCTAATTAGGAAAGTGAGAATTAATTGTTTAAATCAAACTTTTGCATGAAATTTCTCTCATCCTTCGTCTACCTTAGCTTCCTCATCAATAAAATTCCTAAAAGTTTCAAAAAAATGAAGTCATTTTCAATTCTAGGATTTGCTGAGATTTAATTTCAATTATTTACAATTAATAACCTAAAAATAATTTAATATCTTTCCATTCCAAACTTCTGCCTTGCCCTAATAACTCGAACTCAGTGAATAAGACTCGCTCGTGCTCCCTGCAAGCCGCACAAGACCCTTCCTTCTCTTTGAATGTGATCTCTCGCAAACTAAGTCAAGCATTCAAGCATCTCTCGAGCTAATAGGTCTGCTTGTTTGGAGAGAAAATGATACCGGAAGTGAATGTTCAAACCACAAAAAAACACAAAAATAAACTTTTATTGATATAAGGATAGGGTTACAACAGACACAAACTGAAGATAACTTCACCAACACATAAAATGTCACAAACAACACCTCAAAAGTGCATTTTAGGAGCGATGGAGGTCGGCTAGGTGGATTGAGATTGTTGGCAAGGGTGGTGACAACAAATTAATGCTAATGGTAGCGAGGGGAATGTGTAGAATTGTGAGGACATTAAGGTAAAATTTAGGGAATGGAACGACGGAGGCTGGGTTAGGGGATTGGGAGTGATCGGAGGCTATGGGGAAGGATGAAGGGAAGAGAGAAAGATACATTACCATATTGGAGTAGGATATAGTGGGAGCACCACCACCTTATCAAATCCAATCCACAAAGGGAAAAATGACCCCACACAAGAATCTGAAAGCAACACAGAACAAAATACTTTCCAACTCTGAGAATAGCAACTAAATAGACTCTTACATGAAGAAGAAAGGAAAGAGATAAAGAAGGAAACTTTCACACAAAAGGAAGGGGTAGGGTGTCCAGAAATATTCAAAAATTATTGCTAAAAATACTTCCAAACTAAGAAGACGCAGAAAGGGAAGAGAGGCCTTGGCGACACGTCCACCCTTTTCCAAATGCTCGATCTAGGAGGGATATGTGAAAGGAAGCTCGCCTGGGCCGCTTGATCCTTTTGAAAGCTTGGGCAGGCCTCCATGTCAACTAGTTCAGCCGACTATTGTTTTCCCTAATCCAGGCAGGAAGTTCTAGCACCCGTGTCCATAGCGAGAAGGGGGAAAGCCTCACATCAGTTTCTCGAGGCTGGGGGAGATTCAACTTCATTGGTCAAAGATTCTGGCTCGTGGAACGATGTCAAGTCCCTTGATAGGTCGATCATGTCGCCGTTGACATTCCACAACACATTCTGGTAGAATAGATGTATATCCTTTTTTGACACATCCTGAGCTGGAACTGTAGGAAGACAAGTATTCTCACGGCTCACGTATCGAGCCATTTCAGGGGTAACCTGTTTCATTCACTCCTCGTAATCGGCTAAGTGCAGTTGAGGAACTGGTATGGGAGGAGGGATCAATTTTGGGGTTAAATTTTTGGCAGGCTGCACTCATCTGACTAATATTCACTCGGGAGAGACCTCTTCGTTACTTATAAGACCTGGATCCCATTTAATGATTTTTATCCCCATAAAACTCCTTGGGCCCACTACAAAACTGAGATTCATCTCTTCTGTCTAGATATCTGATGAGGGGTACCATGCAAAACAAGAAATAACAATGGTATAAGATGACTCTTCTTCGAACGTGCTGAACCTTACCATGTAGTGATAACTCAAGAAGGGGTTTATTCATCTGAAAATATTGTATTTCTCTTATCTATGGTGGCCTTATATCCGATATAAGCCTCTCAAGCTCGTGATCCTTTTGGATCGCTAAGGTCATCCTTGTTGATGTTCCTCTCATCGTCTGCAGGATGCTAGCTTGAGGCACCATAATCTCATGCTCTATTGGGATGCCCATTATGTCAGAGTCATTACCTTCTAGAGCTTTGACTGTTGGCTCTGTTGGAATCTCTATCTCTGGGTCGACTGGATTTAGTGGCGTCCTTTGCTAGCTGCAAGTGGAGATTCCTCTCGAAAGTCTTCATCTTCTTTCTGATCATTGTTCATCTCATCAATTGGAGGCTGGTATTCCCTGTTGATTTCCTTACTTTTTTCAGTGTCTTTGATGTCCTTACCCCATGTTTCGATAACACCTTGCTCAATAAAATAGATTGCTCCCTTGGTTGTGGATTCGTGGCACTTACAATACTTCCTGCTGTGATAGCCTTGTGGCTTGGTTTTGTGGGACGATAGACAAGGGGGTCGCTTGGTGGTGTTGTCCGTGTATTTATAGGAGCAGGATACAACTGTATGAAATATGTTAATGGTTAGTGGTGTTGTCCGTGATTGTCCGTGTATTTATAGGAGCAGGATACAACTGTAATAGGATACAACTGGAGCACCACCACCTTCTCAGATACAACACACAAATGGGAAAATGACTCTACATAGGAATTTGAAATCAACACACATCAAAACCACTTACCAACTCTGAGAATAGCAACTAAATTGACTCTTATATGAAAAAGAAAACAAAGAGAAAAAGAATAAAACTACTACATAAAAGGAAGGGGTGGAGAGTCCAGAAATATTCAGAAATTTTCCCTAAAAATACTGCGAAACGAAAAGTACACGAAAAAGAAAGGAGGGCCCTGGAGGCACTTCCGTCCTTTTCCAAGTGCTCGATCTAGGCGAGAGAAGCGAGAGGAAGGTCACCTGGGCCGCTCAATTCATTTGGAAGCTTGGACCAGCTCTCTGGACCAAATTCCATGCCAACCGGTTCAGCCGGCTCT